TTTTGGCACCCTATTCATCCAAGGAAGTAAAGTTTCTGTCCTCTAACTCAAGTCATCTCTGCTATCTACAGGAAAAGGATGCACTAGAAGCAAAACCATCAACAAGTTTTTCCCCACTCAAGTCATTAGAGGAAGCGGAAGAAGTGCCAAGGAAACCAAAGGGGGCAGCACCAGCACCGTCAACAGCGAAACCAAAGGAGGCAGCACCAGCACCGTCAACGGCAGCAGATAGTGATAACAAGCTTGCTTCAAACCCTAATAGGAAGGAATGGCGATTCATACGTTCAGCAACACAGCTCAACGACGCAGGAATAACTTTTAAAAACAGCAAGGGGAGATTGTTTGATATAAAGTTTTACAAGGGGGTAATGTCAATTCCAACTTTAAGAATCGACGACAATACAGAGTCCATTCTTCGGAATTTGGTTGCTTATGAACAGTGCTCCAAGGGCGCATCTTCAAAATGTTTCACGGATTATATTATATTCATGGATCGCCTCATCAACATATGGAAGGATGTTGAATTACTTTCTAAACATGGAGTTATTGATAACTGGTTAGGTGATAATGACGTGGTCGCTGCAATGTTGAACAAAATCGGTGACTCTGTGTTGATCTCAAAAGACCACTTCTCTTATGCTGAGACCTTCAAGAAAGTGAATGAGCATTGTGACAGAAAGTGGAACCAGTGGATGGCAAATTTAAGGCACAATTACTTTAACACTCCATGGGCGGGCATTTCCTGCGTCGCTGGGGCTTTCTTGCTTCTACTTAATTTGGTTACAGGTGTTATGTCGGTTCTTTCTTATCTATTGAATTAAGTATGGAAAAGCTCCTCTCTACATGGTGAAGGCAGAGGCAGAGGCATATTGGGGTATCAAAAGTGAAAGTTATGCCCAACGCATATCTTCATGGTTATGTTCGTCATTCCAGAGTTTGCAATAAGTGAAGCTAGCTGCTCACACAAAATTGTTTCCCTGTTTAAATTGTGATGTCGTGTCATGTTATGTATTCTACTGAAAATTTGCGTGGGTTTAATTCCTTTAAAGTCTCTCTCTCTTTTTTTTTTTTTAAATGTATCCCTTTGAACTCAATTTGTAAGGATGTTTGCAGCAGTCTATATATCTGTGTATTCCATTCGAACGTAATAACTTTTAATTCCTCCAGCCACCTCAACAGAATTAAACAAGAAAAATAAAATCAAATATGATATGAAATTCAAAGACAGAAATGGACATGTTTGTGATGACTAGAAAGGTCAAATAAAATGGAAGGAGGGTGAATCATGTCAAAACTATTCAGTCAATTATTATCAGGAACATAATTTTTTTTAGAGTAAGAGAAGATACAACTTCGGTATGTATTGAGAAAACGATCAATACAAGTAGTTTTTAAAAATTATTTTTTATATTTTTTGCATTTAACAATTATTAAGAAAATAAGTTAATTAAAAATATTTTCAGTTAATAAAAAACACAATACAAGATTTTTAGAAATTGACTTCAAAAAAGAAAAAAATCTCAAACTTGATTTCCTACAAAAACACATGAATCCTTTCTGGGTCTACTTGGTTGGGTTAAAACAAAAGAAACACATTCGACAAAAATCCTAGATTGATCTCCATCCATTCGTCACCCTTCCCCCTCCAGCAAGTCCACAACTATCAAATCAAAGCCTCTTAATGCAATAGTCTTTTTTCCTAAAATATCCAGACCAAAAACAGAACCTCTCAAACACAATAATTT